TCACACACACACACACACACACACACACACACACACACACACACACACACACACACACGCACACACACTCACAATCAATCAATCAATCGATCAATCAATCAATCAATCAATATCAATCAACCAATGAAACCTTTTTTTTTTCAAGTGTTTTGTTTATTTATTTTTAAATTTTGTATCTTTATTTTTCTAAAACACCTCATACCCCTGCAAAAAACAGAAATTCATTTCTAAAAAATACAAGTGAACTCTGGGACCACATATCTGATGATAAAAAATGACAAAAAAAAAATCCAACTTTTTTTTATATTTTGTTTTTTAATTTTTTTTAAATCGAATTTAGTTTTTGATTTTTTAAAAATCCAAAACAAAGTCGGATTCAAAAAAGAAAAATATGGGGTTGTAGGGATTAAAATTCCATAAAACCCTTTTTTTTTTTTTTAACCTATTATTTAATTCAGGAAAATTCTGGTAAAATCGGGTCCGCGGTGTGGACCAGGTCGGCCGCAAATGGGGACCCGTCTGCGTCCGCCATCCGAGATTGGACCCCCGCACGCGTCCGCGGGTGTTTCATAGATGTGCCTAAAACACTCCGTTGCATTAGCGGCTATAGCAGTCGCCTCGCCACGAACTTGGGGAAGTTCGTGGAAAAAATAGTTGGTGGACTGCACTCGTCATTGTTCATTCTAGGAGCAGTACCCACTCCGCAGCCCCAGGATTTCTCCACGAGCTGTGTCATACTGTGGTATGCGGTTGACTGTTATCGGATGTGATTTCGCCAGAGTGCTGTGTGTCGCCACTTCGAACAAAAGTAGGAAACTCGTCGATGCAGTTGTGCGTGTATCACGGAACGAGGTGGTACTCGAGGGGACAGGGGGAAGGCCGACGAACAAGTTCTGACTGTTGTGGTACCACGATGCAGATGGGTGGTCATATTTGATAATAGCAGGTCAGGTCGAAGATTTTTCATTGTGGTATGAGGTGGAAGAGAAAGTGTCCGACATACAAGACTGTATAGGGAAATCCTTAGCACGACCAGGAGGGTTTGTCAGGATGAAATACATGTCCGTATTTTCGGAGAATGCAACAGTCGAGGAACCGCAGATCCACGTATACGGATCATCAATGCATGCTATGTACGGCTTCGGTTCACAACCTCGTCCGCGGGAAACCCCGTACATCACTAGATCCGGACGGGTTGTCAGACCTTATGTTTAACGGAAAAGGAGTGAGAGGTGTGAGACGCATGTGTGTAGCCGAAAATGGTAGATATGAAGTAGTAGAGATAGGTGTTAGAGGCAGTACTTGCAAGTAGACGCTATACCAAGTATGTTCGTAGTTCTCTGGTTTTAGATTTTTAGAAAGCATCAGTGTACTCTGCGACGCGTGATAGAATGTTTTTTTGCAATGAATGAATTTTGAAAACACCATTGTGTGCTCCGCAATGTGCGGTTGAACGATGTTTTTGCATTGTGCGATTTCTCGAAACTCTCCGTGGGGTGTATAACTTGACGTTCATGAAAACAAAGGTCAAGTTGCGATGACAAGAGTTAATGTTATGAACGGATCTTATCTTTCTTGTCCATGCAAAGATTTGGTGATCTTTTCACCCGTGAATATACAAACGACAAGCCAACGTCCATATAAAATCATCACGTTGATGGTGTGCGCACCTTGCTGTTCATCTGAGTGCGAGTTCACGCGCACCTGTGGTGTGAACCCCGAGCAATCCACTTAAACTCATTTTCGTCTAGCCTCCAATGACGCTGTGGTTTTCCTGCCGCGCAGTGGATTTCACCAAACACGCAAGTACAGAACCTATCTCTCTCTCTCTATCTCTCGCTCACACCCTCCTTCAGTTCGGATCCCGGCGAACTTCGCGGTTTCCACATGCCCTTTGATCGGACCCGCATTGGCGTCTAACCTCAGACGTGCGTATGGATTCGTGTTGCATCTTGGGTTGCGATAACCGCACAAGTGCGGATCCTGTCTTCCTCTATGTCACTCTTTCTCTCCGCCTCCTTGAGTTCGGATCCCGGCGAACTTTGGGTTTTCGCCTGTTTATTGAACTGACAGTGGTCTTCCTAACCCCTTGTGGATTGCAACAACAGCCCAAGTCCGCCCGAATCTAGACTTTTCATTTCACCCAAACAGGGTCACAGAACATGCTGGCCCGGCTCCTGCGTTCGAGCTTGGCTGCATCCGGTGTCAAGCTACGCATATCGCCAAACCGGACAGCAGAAGAAGTTTGGATGAGGGCGGACTTCTCAACTGGCCTCTCATGTGAGTGGGGACTTCCTGGATCGTCATTGATTTTAACAACCACAGAATTTCGGATCGTGTGTCTCTTTCACCGTCTCTCTCTATCGCACCCTCCTGAAGTTCGGATCCCGGCGAACTTCGCATTTTCGGTTGTGCGTTGGTCTGTCCGTGGGCTTCCTGGTGCCTAGTGGATCGCACAAACCACATTACTTCGCCCTTGTCCGACTTCTCGTTTTGCCCGTATGCAGTAACCGAGTTCGCTTGCACGAGCACTGCGAATTCTCACGTGGCCTTTGATGCGATTGTACTCTTGCTTCTTCCCGGTGGATTTTTAAAACCACAAACATACGGATCCTGTCTCTCTCTCTCTCCGGCTCTCTCTATCTCGGACCCTCTTTTAGTTCGAATCCCGACGAAATTCGCGTGCTCACCTATGCGAATCGGGGTTCCGGAGGCTCTTTCTGTGCGGAGGCCACTGGCCATCGGGCATCCGAGTTCCTCATACTGAGCGGGATCCACTGGTCCGTCCAGTCGACATTCCCTTGTCGCAGCGCGGCGTGCCCATGCCGCGAGGCCTGCCACTCTTCTATGGCGACGGAGAATTTCAACTTCGGTTTCCGCGCCGGGGAAGCGCGATCGACGAACAGGGCCTCATAACGATTCCTATGCGACATGCCCGCAATCTAAGTCCGCCGGCATCCAAAATTCAGAAAATGTCAAAGCGTCACTGACTCGGTCACCGGTGTGCAGAATTGCTTCGGTCCCGATGCAGTTGTCGCCCGACCACCTTCAAGATGTGCCAAACAGCCATTCATTGTCTTTGCGCATTGCCAAAAGCACTCTTAGGGCCCTTTTGTTGGATCTGGATCTGCTTCAATCAGAGTTTCGCACTCCACAAACATAATTTCCCTCCAGTTCCCGCAGGTTAACAGTTATTCGGGCAGTCCTTCACGACGCTAAAACGCAACTGGGGCGAGTTTGGTGTGCCTTCTTGTTGGATCTGGATCTGTTTTGAGCAGAGTTTCGCACTCCACAAACAAAATTCCCCTCCAGTTCCCGCAGGTTAACAGTTGTTTGGGCAGTCGTTCGCGATGTTGAAACGCAACAGGGGCGAGTTCGGTGCGCCTTCTTGTTGGACCTGGATCTGTTTTGAGCAGAGTTTCGCACTCCACAAACAGAATTCCCCTCCAGTTCCCGCAGTTTAACAGTTGTTCGGGCAGTCGTTCGCGATGCTGAAACACAACTCGGGGGAGTTTGGTGCGTCTTTTTGTTGGATCTGGATCTGTTTTGAGCAGAGTTTCGCACTCCACAAACAAAATTCCCCTCCAGTTCCCGCAGGTTTACATTTGTTCGGGCGGTCGTTCGCGATGTTGAAACGCAACTGGGGCGAGTTTGGTGGACCTTCCTGTGGGATCTGAACCTGTTTCGAGCAGAGTTTCGCACTCCACAAACAAAATTCCCCTCCAGTTCCCGCAGGTTAACAGTGATTCGGGCAGTCGTTCGCGATGCTGAAACGCAACTGGGGCAAGTGTGGGGGGCTTTGTGCTGGGGACTGGGGGTCAGAGAGACGGAGTCTGGCGCTCTCACGGCGTTGTCCATCCATGATGTTGCCCGGCGAATTCATCAAGTTCGCTAGCATCCAAACTTCACATGAAGGCTGAAGATGGATCTGAACAAGTGCGGATACCGGCGGACCAGGTGTGCGTGGACAGGGTATGAAAAACTGCCGGCGATTTCGTCTAGTTCGCTCGTCTCCGGATTTCGCACAAGCGTGAGAACGACGTGACGAAGTGCGGATGCCGGCGAACTTGCCGTGTGTTCATGTAGTCTATTGTCATGTTCGTGCGCTGTTGGCACACGTTCGGTGTGCCTTCTTGTTAGATCACTCCTTGTGAACTGCAGAGTACAGCAGTCAACAAACCGTCTCACTATCAGTGACTCTCTTTATCATCGCATGTCGTTATCAACCCTCGTCAATTGCTTGCAAATTTGTTTAGTTCGCCGAGATCCGAACTTCATACAGATGCCTCTTTTCTAAGTTGATTTGGGTGCCGATACCGTTGATGTGCTACGACATTTGGGTATGTGTACTGGGTGGGTAATTTATGTCATCCGTGTGTTGGGTTGTTCTTTTATCTTGGACCAATGCAGACACAATGTCGACGTCAAGGGGCAAGGAGTATCCGACCGGTACCTTAGGGAGGGAATCACGGTCCTCCAAATCGTGGTCCTATCATGTGCATACCAAATGGTTCGTCGATTGGTGCTGCGGGGATGAGTCCCAGCCGACCAAACCTCTGTGCGGTTCTGTTATATTCCTCAAAGACAAAAAAAGGCGTAGAGTTCTTGGGGCGGTGGCCGGATGGCACCCTGCTAAAAAGGATAACACGCAACATTCTAAGTTGTACACTGTTTACAATGCTGTTGTCAATTCCAAAGGGGCGGTTTTGTCTTTCGATCTGTTCCAGAGGTTTGGGGCAGGGGATGTGAACACCCCTTTCTACCAAGATTTTGTAGTAGGAAATGTTGTTTCGGTACGGGAGTTTTTTGACTTGGTGGATCCCTGCAACATTCAAGGCGACCAAGAGTTGTCGCTGCCTCTCCAGATGTGCACCGGGTTGAAATCCAACGGTGCTCCCACGGAAGGGGGAGATTTCGGTTACGGTCCCTCTTCGCAACTCCGTCGGGGCGAGGCTCGTCGTCGCTTCGACGACAGCGACGACGAAGAACCGGAGTAGACGCGGCCTTCGCCGCTTAGGCAGGGAGACCGGTTTGTCCTGAGCATTCCTGGGGTGGAAGGACACACCCCGGTTCGCAACCGGCTGTCGACGTCAGTCGGGGGGGAAGAGGAGGGTGTGCAGCAGCCTGCGCATAAGAGGAGGGGAGGTCCTCAGGAAGAGGGTGCGGGTTCCGCAAAGAAACATAAGGCAAGGACCCCCCAGACGACGGGGGGGGAAAGGAAGGGAGTCGAGGGGCAGGAGGGAACATCGGGTCGGAAACGCCCGACGTCGGTGCAGAAACAGCCTCAGCCAGGTGCTCTCGAGGCGAAGGGTCCCATCGACGTCGACGCCTCGTACTTCCTGGAATGGAAAGACGGTGTGCGGACAAAGCGGGAGTTCTTCATTAGCGCATCGCAGGTCGTCGACATCGGTGACTGGGAACCATCGTACAACCAACGGTCGTTGGATCCCGTGCACACGCAGATCATCATTGATGTGATGATGATGGCGTTCTCGCAAGCCGAGAAGACGTACGAGTTGCCTACCCTCAAGCTGGCGCCACTAAGGTTGGAGAAATCGAAGTCGGGCGTACGGGCTGATCGTCTGAAGCCAGAGGAATGGAAGGACGAGCTCGCAAACCAATACTATTATTACGTTGTTTCCGGCCAGCACAACGCGGCTGCAGCCAGGGCGCTGCTCGGCACAGACGTCGCATTGAGGTACAACTTCGACCGGTGGCCTGCACATATGGTTTACTTCTTGGACGAGGAGTTCGAAGGGTATTTTCTGGTCAGCTCGGAGGACAACATGAAGGACTTGAAGGCGCCTCCTAGACAGCTGAAACTATCAATAAAGGACATTCAGTGGTGGTGGAAAAAAAAGGGTTTCCCAAAGGATGTTATGTCAATAAAGGACATTCAGTGGTTGTGGAAAAAAAAGGGTTTCCCAAAGGATGTTATGGGGAACCCCAGCGGAAAACAAGCTCAAGTGAAGACATGGTGTGAGTTTTGTTCGCAGGCGCTTCACAAAACGCCTTACAACCACTTGTGGATTCTCGGTGATGAGAAGGGCGAGGACAGTATTAAGAAGCAGAACGCTGCCCTTCGCTCTTATTTTCCGTTGGTGATGGCTGGAAAAAGCGCGTGGGAGTTGGGTATGGAATTTTTCGAGAAATGGGAGACGGGGAGACGTCTGGCACCCGAGGGGGCGAGGTGGATCACAAGGAAAAGGAAAGTGAGGGGCGTCAGGCCCGGCGTTAGCCACATCGAAAACGACAAGTTGGAGCGAAAGGAGGTTGTTCTACAACGTCCCCGTCGAGGCGCCCCAAAAGAAAGGAAAGAAGGAGAAAGAGCCTGACAATTGGTTTGTCCAGGTCACCGAGCCGGATCCGCACTACTGGAAGAGCATGGAAGCCCTTACCCACAACGAGAAATGTCGGTTGCTCAAGAAGGTCCTCAACTGCGAGGTTGTGTGGGTGCAAACAGGCTCCTCATCGTTGGCGAAGCAAGGCAAGTTGGGAGTGCAGGAAGGAGTGCACCTGCTCAAGTGTGATCGCATCTTGGTGCGATTGTGGAACTACTATCAGTTTGTGCACGAGAACCGGCCGGGTGCTGACTGGACACGTGCGTATCCCTTCCTAAAGAAGCGAGAGTCGATTTTGGCGGAGTTCGAGAAGCAGGGAATGGATGCCTCGTTGTGGGACGAGAGCAGGAAGATCGTCGGTGACGCCTCGCTGTTCAAGGACTGTCCGTCGTACATGGGGTGCGAGGACGACAAAACAATCAAGGCGACGGAAAAACTTGCCCAAAACAAGAAGTTGTCCGCCGACTGGAAGAACAAGGTCCTCTCAGTGCTAACGGGCAGTAGGGCCAAGAGCATGGAGGTCGCGCTTGCCGAAGGCGAGGTGCACGTTCTGTGGAAAGACTCGGGGGACGTGACATCGATCGCCCCATTCGGCGTTGACCCTCTGGAGGTGCAGTTGAGGGTCAGGGAGCTGGAGAAAGCGGTTGGGACCACCAAATGCCACACGTGCGTTCTTGATCTGTGCGAGCCGGTGGACTTCAAACACTGGACACCGAAAGATTTCAAGAGTTTGAATTCCCTCCTAGAGCAATTGTTTCTGTCACACTGGACGATCGTCGTTTTCCTCCCTCGGCAGTGGGACTACTCCTTCATGACCAGCCTGCGCCATCTGCCCGTTGTGAAGGCAATGGCAGGGAAATGGGTCAGGAGGACGCACCAGACGAAAAGTTTCCCGGTGGGAAATAACTTGTACTCGGCTGACGACCGCATGTACATTCTCTTCAAAAGTGACGATTTGCGGGAGAATACATCTGTCGTCTACGATGCTAGGTTGTCGGCAGGTGACGCTGCGGCTGTCGGGGTGCATCAAAAAGTGACCCTGACAGACATATCGGAGACTCCCTTCGACCCTTGTGAGTGGCCGTCGGCCATGCCTAGAGTTGACAGGAAGGTCTACAAGGACACGGAGCGGAACCCCACATAATTGGCCCATCTGTTGGAATTTGTGTGCAAAAAGGGGGAGGGCGTCATGTTCCTCGGCAAGCCGCACGCGCGAGTCGTGTGGGAGGTTTTGAAGAGCGACCGACACGTGGTCGCGCTGGAAGGGAATTCTGAGTTGTTGCAATACACGTTGGAGTTCCTCAAAAGCGAGGTCAACTCTGGAGCCATCCGCTGCGAGTTCGTTTCGAGGAGCGAGAAATCAACACACGTTCAAGAACCGTCTACGGACATGTGGTTCAAGTTGAGCGAGTGGAAGAGGAACAGGATCTACAAGTTCCTCTTTTTGGAAACAGGGCCCAGGAGGGACAATGACGTTGAGTACATGCGTCGCAAGGAACACATGTTGGCATTGTTGGACAACTACCACTACGCCTCACGCAAGAATGCAAAGAACTTCCTCGACCGGTTGGAGTGTTTGTACTTCGTCGAGTCCGAGGAGATGTTGAAGCTCGAGAGTTATGGTGCCTTGATCTCTACGGAGGACGAGGCAAAAACAGGCGTTGTTTTTGACACCGCTACGCCGGAGGAGGACAGCGACAGCGAGGACATCGACATCGATTACCATCCTGCTCCGGTGTTCCATGCCCCTGGCTCCTCGTCGGCCGGTCCCTCAACAAGCCAAGCCACCCAGGCGTCGCCTGTGCTCACGTTCACCCCGGGTAAGACCCCGAGTAAGCTGGCGGCGAGACTGACGCCTCGGCCTGCCGCCCCACCTCCATTGCGTTCCGGGAGTTCGGTTCCGCTGCATCATCCTTCTCGCAAGGATGATGTCGTTCACTTCGAAGGGCTCGACCACACTCGATCGAGCGAGGCGGACTAGGGCCATGACATGATATGGCGCCCGGGAACTATTCAGCCAGCAATCCAGAAGGGCGAGTGGATCATGGTGCTCATCAGCGATCAAGGGTTGTGGCAGCCATACCCATGCCAGTCCAAGGCGGAGAACCTGGAACTCGTGAGGATTTCGGTGCTCGACAAAGTGAGGTCTGAAATCCCAACTTTCAACCCGCCGACCCGACCATCGATTCCACTGCTGAACTTCTGTTTCAAGAACTTCAGGACAAGCAGTGGTTGGAACTCAGGGACGAATTCTACGACCTCGACACGAGCCCTTCGAAGGGACGGGTGGACTGGAAGGTTCGCCCTGCGACCGGGCCACAGGGTAGTCCCGGGGGGGGGGGGGGGGGGGGGGGGGGGGGGG